TCCCTACATCAACCAGACCTTCTTATGCTTTGCGTTTATATAATCAGCTCTCTTCTCACTTGCTAGTGTGTATGTCTAGCATGTCAGGCCCTGTTGTGGGAGACAGGCTGAGGCATGGCCCCTTGAGCACACAACCTGGTGTGAGCTACGGTTGGAAATGACTACACTAAACGTTAAAACACATAACACTCGATATTTGCTTACACTTCGGTTTGAGTGTAGCCATCTTGCTATCATGCATTTTCTTCCCTGTGGGGAAGGCCTGAAGAAAGGTCTTTTTTTATATGACTTACCACTGTAGTAGAATCAACACTGCACAAATCCTGACTGACCTAAAATGTTACTACTATATCTCCATAACAAACATATATAGCGATGAACTCATTGCAAGAGTCAGCCTGATATGATGTAATTAAAAACCTTTAACAAAACACAAACTAATTCTACTTTGAGCACTTAACTTTCACAAGGTACTGTATCTGGGAAAGCCACCACTAAGAAGTAATGTATTTAACATTAAAATATAACAATAAATACAGCAAAAGGATGGCTGACAACAGAACAAGATATTGCTACTACATATTACTGATGTAGCAAGCTACACATTGAAATGTTATCATACAGATCATATACTTCCTATTGAGCACTGCAGTATTCAAGGAGTTGCACACATTTTATGGAGTCTTAGTCACAAGTAGAAAAAGAGGTTTTCCTATATAAGGGCTTTTATCTGGCTGCTTCCTGAGCAACAGATTTTTCTCAATCCCCACTTACTGAAGTTATTAATAAAATAATAGGGAGCCCTTGGGAGGTGAGAAACTTCTTGAGTTTTCCTATTACTTTTCAAACAACAAATGGCTTACAAAGAGCAGAACAAAAAGACTTCCCCTCACCTGAAGCAATGGCTGTGGCAGCATTAACAGAAGCCAAGGCATGAAGCCTCTCTCACCTGAGTTAAGATACCAGTTACCCACCAAAGCAGGCTGTTTTGCAACAGGAAAAAAAACTGGAAAAAACTGGAATAGATTTCAGTAAACTAGGTTTTATAAATCCCCTTCTTCAGGAGGCGAGAAGTTTAAAAAGGGAGCTTGAAAAACCAAGATGTAAACTAAAAAAAGTGGGTTTCCCAAAACTGATAAACAAAAATATGCATTTCAAAGGAAGAAAGTCAGAATTTGTCATGAGAATTGAACATTTTTCTTGGGAACACAATCAGTTTTTAAATGTTCCTGTTGAACAAAGTTGATCAACTTTATTGTTTCACAATAGGGGTAAATTGTAAACAAACAAGGAGAAAAACTCAAAAGTAATGTAAGAAAACCCAAATGAAAAATCTATACAAGGAGTTAAAAATTACAACAGCGCATTACCTTCTGAAGTAAGCTTTTGCTGAAAAGGTGGCATAAATTGGAAACTACAGATAATACACGACTCCTGTACAATTCATGCAGACACCTCCAACTGCCCTACTTAAGCAATTTGCCTGAGATATTCATATACATTTATAGACTTTTATGTATCAACAACTACACTGATCTTTGTTTTTTTGGCACCTTTCAAACTAAGAGGCAGATTTGGATGAAAAATGTCAAGAGAAAATACAAAAGAATATGAGTCTGGTGAAAGTCACAAGCAACAGGCAGACTGAGCCATTAACAGGCACTTGGCACATTGGTTCAAAAGACCATGGATATTGGGGCCCTGCTACACATTCAAATGAAAGCTGGATTGAACCCAGCCATAGAGTTGTTACACATTTCCAAGCAACAGACCTATAGCTGACTGGCTCTTTTTATAGCTGGAGAGTCATTTTATTGTGTGATAATTACTTTGCATGTGTGGTTGGTCTAGTTTATTGCGTAATTAGTTGTCACATGATATTAACTGATTAATTGTGCAATAAAACTTACAGCAACCACATGTGCAAAGTCATTATCACATGATTAACTGTTTGCAGTGCATGTGTGGCCGGTCTAAATTTAATGCACAATTACTGAGTTAATTGTGCAAAATATGTAATGTGCAGCAGAGGCATTAAGAGACACATGGCCTCATCAGAGTAAGGGGGTTAACCCTGAATGACCTGACTGGAGTCTAATTTTGGCAGCTGGTAGCACTTCCTGTCCTAAGTTGCTGTGTAGCGTTAAACATTATATTCCAAAGGAAACTGCATTTCAGTGACAGGCAAAGGTCTTATTTACAAAGGGTAGCTCCTCACAGTTATAAAATATAGTAGCAGCAAAAATAAATTACTTTTAAAGTACCATGCTGCTTAATGTACAAGGTGAAGATTTACCATCTCATACAAAATTTCTAGTATTTCAGTTGTATAACAGAAGAGAGACTTTTCCATTTATTTATCAGATTTTAAATTGCAGCACTAACATTTTAATATTTAATTATAAGAAAGGGAAAAAAATCACTAGAACTCTTCCATTAACTGTTATAAAATATGATAAATATTTTTCATTTTAGCTGGCATAGGAAACTAATGTGGGTGCAAAAACAATATCTGATTTAAAAAATGTTGTGCACAAATGTCTTTCCCCCACATCCTCCACAAGCAATATTGTGTGCCAGTTTTGATAGCTATTCCAAAAAGCTGCAAAAGTTCAAATGGTTTATGTTGTGATAAGACTAGAATGTCTAGAAAAATGGTTTATTTGTTCCAAAACTACTTCCAAGAAGTTTGGCATCAGGAACATCCTGCTGTGGCAGACTATCTCCTGTGATACTACATTTCTGGGACGTACACTATGCTCCCAGGAGGATTTACTTTATGTCACACAAGGTTAGGTCCCCCTAGACCCTTTCAAAGGGCAGTAGCAAGACTGTTAGTTCTTTAAATTAACAGGACGGAATATAAACTACCTAGTCTCTATTTTGAACACCATATTTTCAGATACTTAGATTTAATCACATACAACATTGTTTCACAGGTATTTAATTCCTAATATCCATGGAATTAGGACAGATTATAAAAGGGTGTTTAATTAGGAACCTGATTTGCACATTTCATCTAATATTTACCAACTTATAAGATTTAAAAATTAAGCCTTAAATTCTCTATCTGCTGTGGTGTTAGTCTACAGTTGAGTTTTAACATCACAAATTGAATATTTTAAAGATATGCAGCCACAGGAAGAATTTTATATACTTAAGTCCCTCTCTAGGGAGTCCTGGTTCTATAAATGTTTAGATATACTTATATGACTGACTATGTAAGGTGTTAGAAGTAGGAGATTTTAAGTCATAGTTTCATAGTAGTTTGGGGTCAGAAGGAACCTGAATAGATCATCTAGTCTGACCCCCCGCCACTGGCAGGAGCACACACTGGGATCACGCAACCCCAGACAAGTGTTCGTCCAACCTCTTTTTGAATTTACCCAAGGTAGGAGTGAGGGCCACTTCCCTAAGAAGTTGGTTCCAGATCCTAACCACCCTAACAGTGAAATACTGCCTCCTAATCTCTAACCTGAACCTATTCTCCAGCAGCATCTGGCCATTGTTCCTCGTCACCCCAGGTGCTGCTGGGGGGAATAGGGCCCTTCCTATTTGCTGCTGATCTCCCCTAACGAGTTTGTAGGCGGCCACCAAATCCCACCTCAGACTTAACACTTTGATCAAAAGTAATCTCAGCCCGATTAATTAAACAAGCAATACAAAATACAAATCTGAGATGAGATGAAATACAGGATACAGATGAAAGGGATGACTGAAAAGGCACTTTGACAATTACTAAGTGACAATAAAGAAAAAATACAGTCCGCTGTATAGTTTTAACAATGTAAACACTGGCATTGCATTAAAAAAAAACAGCTTAGGCATTATAGCTCAAAATGTATCAGTAAACAAGTGTACATTACCTTCCGCATGCACATGTCAGCTATTATAGACAGAGGTATTGTAAGGCTTAGCGCAAGGGTGCCTATCAGTGATGAGGTAAGAAAGCAGCCCCTAAAAATATGAAACATGAAATCTTATTTAAAAGATTTAAAGAAAAAGAACAACAAAAGTAATACAGTAAAGAATAATAGAAATTTATATCAAGGCTTAACTATTGGTTAATGTTTGCTTTAACCATTTCATTTACCCTGGACGTATAATTTTTTATTTTAAGGTGAGGGAGAATTAACCACTTCCCTAAGGAAAGCGATTATCCTTTTAACAGTTCTTTATTTCCATTTTGAGTGTGTCCATCTGGTTGGCCTTTATCTGTTAGTTTAAAAAGCTATCCACCTACCAAAGATTTTCTCCCACGCATAGGTACTTCCAGATCACAATCAGCTCAACTTCTTCAAATAAACCATGATTCTTTAGTTTTTCTCAAAAAATAGTTTTGCAGAGCTTCAAATCATTCTCTGAATCCTTTCTGAAGTGTCAACACCAACATTTTTCTAGTAATAGTGTCACACCAATGCCCCACACAGGTAATACAATCTTCCTGTTCTACGCTCTCGTTTACATAGGGCAATGGTTCTCGAATAGGATGCCACAAGACCCCCCAGGGGTGTCATAATGCTGACGCCCCTGTGTTGGCCAGATTAAAGTGCCCCACACACAGGGCTGTGGCATGCTGCACTCCTCCTGCATTATAGTTTTATGATACTCTTAAGGCTGTCAAGAGCTGGCTCATGGTCCGTTCCTTCCCTGAAAACACTGCTCCCAGAAACAAAAGCACACAGGACAGTTCCATGCCCCAATTTCCATGAGATGCTGTGCAAGGTTCAACCAAGAAGGGGTACAGCACAAGCCAGCTTTCCTGCCTGCTCTAAGATGATCAGAGGACTCTAATGAGTGGGGATCCGGGTTTCCCCTTTACCAGAGAACAATGTGGATTTTTCCCTTTACTGGACAAAAATGCGGGAAATGGCAGGTTCCCCTTGCAGGCTGGTAGAACTCCAGCCTGCAAGGGGCTGCTTGGGGTTGGGGGGAGTGGGACGTAGTATTTCATTTCCCTGGCAGGGAATGGGACAGGGGGCACCATGGGCATATGCACACACACATGTGGCAGCCAGGCAGGGTGGTAGGAAGCAGCTTCTGCCGCTCCCTCCAGGTAAGTTTATGAGGTGAAGGAGGGCACAGGTGATGTGTGTGGGAGCAGGGGGGCATGTGCCCCCCTGCACCCATAGTGGGGTGCTGGGCTGCAGCCAAGCCAGACCAGCACCAGGCAGGAGCTGCCTCTGCAGCCCAACAGGCAGGACCCAGCGCAGGAAGAAGTGCTGTGCCGCCACGGCCACCCAGGTGACACATGGCAGCAGTGACACATATTGTGTGCAGGGAGGGGTAGGGTCAGGGCACCGGCATTTCAGAGCTGCTCACCACCACAGAGCAGCAGGGGAGACAGCTGCAGCTGGACCAGCATCCTGGTGAGTGAAGGGGGCAGGGCAAACTCTGATTTTCCATGATAAAAAAAATCACCTAAAATCAAATGCCAGAATATACAGGCATTTAGAATTTATTTTAGTATAATGACTGAGGCACTGGTAGGCTTCCAAATTGCTTTTAAAATTGTAAATATCTCCATAAAACATTGTGTTCAACTGGTAGCTAGATACACATGTGCACGCACGCACGCACGCACGCACACGGGCATTTCATTTCAATCACGGAAAAAGTGGATTTCAATGGGGATTTCAATCAGAGAATTAGCGTTTTTTAAACAGAGAAAACCAATACCCCTGCTAATGAGGCAGAAGAGCCATGCCACGGCCCTTCCTGGTCTGGCTGTGTCCAAGGCACGCAGGACAGTTTTACCTGGCGGCAGCATCACCCACTTGAGACCCAATGAGAAGCCAGGGCAGCACAGCGGTGGTTCTCTATTGGGTTCTGCCACATTCAAAAAAGGTTGTGGAGAGGTGCCCTAACCTAAAAAGGTTGAAAACCACTGACATATTCAAAGCCATTCGCCTTCTTAAATGAGTGAATCACAAAGGAATCTCAAGTTCAGCAGTTTATTCATCTTATTGAATAATAAACAATATATCAAGTCTCTTTATAAACAGCAAAAGAGCCCAGGCTCCTTCTTTAAAACTCCTTTGCAGAACAAATTTAATTTAAAAATGATTAAGCTACTGAGTACAGTTTAAGGGGGGAAAAAAATAAAACCACCGCGAACTCAATTACCATGCACCTCCCTAATTTTCATGGAACTTTTACTCTGAAGAATTACTAAGTATTTGAAATATTCTTTAGTTCTACAGGTTATTGAGTGCAAAAAAGGGTGTAGGGTCAGGCATGTCTAGTTTTAACCATTTTGCTATTGTTAAAGGCACTTTCAACACAAAAGGCTGTAAATTAGACTCTGTGATCCATCAAATCAATGGTCCCAAACACAAAATAAAGCTCAGCAACAGATAATACCTTCATAAGAACTGTTCTGCCCTGACACAAAGAATCAGTGATTCAATAACTTTGAAACTGCTTGCTTACTCACTTCAGTCAATACTGTTCACTGAACTAATTACCTATTCACTCAGTCTCTAATGGCAGCAAAAGCATCTGGACTAATGAGATTCTAGGGAACTTGTTTTTTCAAAGATTTAATTTACTTAAACTTTTCAGGTAATGAAATACTTCACTAGGTATTATTCTTGCACTGCCTACATGATGCAAGAGATTGGAATTTGAAGAACTGCTATAATATAAAATTCATACAATTAAGAAAATGAATATTTGCTCATTTAAAGTTGAGTCTGTATGACAATCACTACAGTAGTACTACACTACCTGAAGTGCTTAAGTTTTTTATCTCATAACATTTTTATATTGTTTGTGTTTAATCTTCTCAGCTCTCTTTCATAGTGCTTCTTTCTACAAATCCACATCATTTTCTCTTTAAAAGTTATGTGGGCATTGCTCTTAAACAGCATAGTGCAATGCATTGAATGACTTTCCCTAACTCATTGCCTTAGCAGATCATTAGAAAGCAAAAAACAAAGCCTAATCATTTTAATATCTCAACAGATCACAATTAAATGGGCACTAGTACAATTTGCATGCACTAAATAATACATACCACAACCAGAGGAACTCTGACAGAACTGTTCCAATAAGGCCATTAATGACAATGCACATCCATACTAGTTTATTGGGAAACTCAAAGGCCTCGAATCCAGTATAATGAAGTAGGAAAAATCCTGGCCACAGTAGCAGCAGATTAAACAGACCTACAAAACCTGAGCATAAAACCAAAGATAATGTTAGTAATTCTGAATTTCCATTCTTATTGGCTTCATTTTGTAATTACTTCTTCCTCTTCATATTCTGCTACTCTTACAGTGCAAATGCTTTCAAGGGCTGCAAAATACCTACTTTAATAAATTATTCCTATGCCTAGTTTTCTACGCAAAAAAACCCAACCAGGAATATGTATAGTCAAGTATTTGATTTATGCTTGCTTTTTGGTGTTTAACTAGTCACCTCAACTTAGAAGATGTTTGCTTTTCCATGAACAAAGCAATAATTCTGACTCCATGGAAGAAAGAACTTACATAAGGAACAAGGATCTCCTAGAACATAGGGAGCTGTGGGACAGCCTGAAGATCACAACCACTCTTTTTTTCCCCTATTGATTCAACAGCAGATAGTAAAGAACCATCGGAGGGGCTGCCCTGGGGTTTTTTTCTGTTGTAATATAGGGTCCTGGTATGATAGCTGGTCATGAAACAAGGCATAAGCAGTAAGAAAAATGTCATCAGCACATAGCTGCATAGATTTCGGTAAGTGGTGCAAGCCAATACATGCTTCTGCAGGAGTCCACCTGGCCAAGTGAAGCAGGGATGCACAAGACAGACACACAAATGTTATCATCAAAAGAAATGGATCTGAAAAAACAGGATTTCAGTGTCTGTCTGTGAAAGGAGAAGCAAACAGGCAACTCTTTAAGAAAACAGGCTGGAACTTTAATTCCGGGTTAATAGCTACTAGAGTGGTTTTCATGCCTTGGCTCAAAAGCTTTCACTGAAAGACTGGCTGATCATCTGGAAGAGTTAGCTGGCACCAGCTCTATTTTCATCTACTAAATAGTTTTAGATCACTAAAAATATAAAGTAATTTCTAAAAAAATCTTCTAATAAAAAAAATATACTGCAGTAGTTGCCACAGGGATGTTGTACAATGGCAAATAAAAGAAGTAATAATATGCAAGATACTGCCCATACTATGAGTCTACATATCTGTGTTCTACTGGGACAGCAGTTCTGTTTCTCAACGGGAATACTGATACTCTATTATAATTTTTCTTGTGTTAATTTGCGTAGAAGACTGAGAGACTCAGAGAAAAATTACTGATTTGTGTGAATTGACAGAAAAAGATAATTATCATAAAATATACTTTGCTGATTTCATAATCAATTCCCATTTAGTTTGGAAAATTTATGATACAAGTACATTTACCACAAATATATTTAATACAAAAACTCACAACACCACTTCACTATTAAGCCTTTGCTTAGAAAGGTTGACGGGACACCAAATCTCTGCAGATTAACAAGGCTCTATTGTACCATTTGTTGTTTCAGATCTACAATCAGGACTTCAGACATAATATGGTTGGCTAAATGTAATGGCTAGAGAACTACTCCCTAGGGAACCAATAGTCTATCAAAGGTGATTTCAACACATCAGTACAATTTTTACCGAATAAAGAATTCATCAAGGAAATTAGCACCTCAGGAGCAGAGAGCTTGCAGAGCTGACAGTGCACAGCCAGGGGGACTCTGTGCACACACTGCAGCATCTCTGTAGATCAGGGGAAGGCAATTATTTTGGGCGAAGGGCCACTTACTGAGTTCAGGCAAGCTATTGAGGGCTGCATGATAGGCAGCCAGGGGCAGATAAATATGAATTTTCTAAATTTTTTATGGACCCCCAGGCCGGATAGAATGGCCTGGCAGGCTGCATGTGGCCCGTGGGATGCATTTTGCCCACGCCTGCTGTAGACTCCCTCAGTCTTCCCAGAGACAGAATGGCAGCAGTGTACAGGGCAGAACTGTATATCCATTCAGTACTGCAAGCTCTCCAGTCTTTAAGGGCTCAACATTTGAATGTCTGTTTAGGTGTCTCCAGGTATGTTTTTCTACCAGGAGAAAAACATTTGGGAGAATTTTCTCAGCTCATTTAAAGTGTGTGTGCAGCCTGAGACTCCCACTGACTACAGGGAAAGTTGCCGCTGTTTGTTTCACATATTTCAAGATCAGGCCCTAAATCTGGAATAAAACTGGAGTAGGTCCTCCCAACTGCAAAATGCTTAGGTATGCTTCACTTTATGTCAGCATTTAATTGACTGCAAGACTGGGGCCTAAAAGAGAAAAAAATGTATTTGGTGACTCAGAGAAAGTTTTTCATTAACACAGCAATTTCTATCCTTACCAAAGAACATTGGTATATCGAGCTTGTCTTCTCTGTCTATTTTTCTTTTTATCATAACTATATAGACAGCATATAGCATTGCTCCTATAAGAGACCAAAGGGAACCTGTAAAGATCAAACAAACACATTAGGCATAATATTACGAATCATATTTTCTAGAAACATGCTCAGTTAAATCTTAAACACTCTAGTGGAGAATGTTTTATTGCAAATAAGTTTTTATAGAATCTATTAATATATAAAATGAATGAAACTTGAAACTCCATAATCACTCCCTTCTGGCAGTCGTTTAAAACAATCTTCTGGAGTCTGTACATAACTGGTGTTACCTTTCCACTCCCACCCCATAGCTTTGTGTCATGTCAAATTTACAACATCTTTACCTTAATTTCACTTTAAGTATGAAATGAAAAACATTTATATACCTATTGTACCTCTTCCAGCAGATTTGTCAGACCCAGATAGATTAACAAGTACTGCACCACCAATGCTAGAAAAGGAAATATCAACTGTTTAGGCATTAAAAGTATTTAAAAAGATAATGTGAAGTGGAAAATCCACAAAGATACCAATCTAGATATTTGTAAATTTGAGTGGTAAAGCCAAAAGGAGTACTATTTACTAACCTACCTAAATATTTAAGAGCTTGGAATTCACACTACTTTTCAGAAACAAACAAAACTTGAGTCAGCTCCCAGATGATAGATACTAATGCACTTAACCTAACAATAACTTCAAGCAAAAATATTTAACAAACTATTGGTTCCAGAGGGGCTTTGTAACACCGTTAAGGTTACAAATTCAGTTCTTAACCCTAATCCTCCTTTACTTGTGTTTCTGAGAGTTCTGCACTATTGGGATTTTAATTAGCATAAAAGGAATAAAAAAAAAGTTTAACATTTAAGAAGCAGGGCCCCTTGGTACCAGCATTGAATTTCCCTGTAAACTTACCAATATGTGCTACTCTTGAAATTGTACAAGTAAATCCATTTACTTAGAAAACTATAAATGAAATTAGCATGTTGAAGGAAAAAGGAAGATTAAGAAGTTTACATTCCTACCTTAAAACAACTGCTAGGAGTTTGGAAAGGGTGAACCGGTCTCCACTGTTACTTGGAAACACAGCAGCTAAGATTAAGGTAAAAAGCCCTGCAAGAGAAGTTAAATGTGATCAAGCTTTGTTATCAGCCTGTTCAATAAACTGACCTGCCGTCAGTTTAGTTTCTTTTTATTTTATAAATTGTCTGTTTAACACTTCAGTTTAGTTTTAAAAAATTCATTCTCAATCTCTGCGATGGAGCTAGTGTCTAAATTCGTTGCTAATTTTATTTTGTTATTTAGATATGTAGATTATGTATAAACTGAGATTAAAATCTACACCAAACAAGCAAACTATATTTAACTTAGTTTATGTTCTGCATATTTAAACTGCAACCTTAATTTTTAGTTAAGTCTAGAAATCAGCCCAAATTAAAACTGCGCATCACTGAATTTCTTTTTAAATAGTAGTAACTACCGCATGCCTCAAAATGATGGATTATCTGATATTTATAGTTTAACAACATATTCAAAACTGAGATGTGAGGCAATTCACATCTATCATGCCAAGCGAAATTAGACGTTTCACTGAACATGGATTTAAAGAAAACCATTTTAGAAAACTTGTCAAGGACAAGAGATACAAGGGGTTGGTGCCAGAGACAGAAGCCAGTAATGAATAGGGGATGGAACACTCTAGATATACCTGGTTCAATGCTCTCCCTCTAAAGCATCCACTCCTGCCACCAACAGGGACAAGACACTGGGCTAGATGGACCACTGATCTGACCCAGTATGGCACTTCTTATGTTCTTACATTATATGAGGAGTCCCCTGTGGTTCAGTGATAGAATCCTTGTCTACCACACAGGAGACCTGGGTTTGATTCCCAGACACTTACACAACTACAGCCATGGCTGCACCAAACATCTGGACTCAGTTAGGTCTTTGGATTCTATCTCAGTGGCCTAAAGGGAGGATGAAAGGTCTGGGCAGCCTCCACTCCTCCAAAAATTCCTACCCAGGCATATGCATCGAAGGTCTGGGTGGCCTTGATGCATACACCATGATCCAGGAGGATTGATGGTTGCCACGTTAGATGAAAAATATACCTCATGCGCTTTTAAAATTAAAATGTACTACAATGGAAGCAGAGTAAGATCCTAGAAATATTAGGGAACAGGACCTGCTATCTCACTTTTTGGTAAGATAACAAAAGAGTCGACTCTGTAAGAGTCGAAGTACTTTATTCAAATTGCAATGGGAACAAATCACAGCAAGCTAAAGAGGGGGCCAGAACTTAATGTACTGCTCCAAAGTAATTACCCATGTGTATGATTTCACACCACTAAGTAGAAGCTAAAACTGTGGTGGTTTAGCTCTCAGTGCTCTAAATCAAGTGCAAATTTCCATTTGAAAGAACCCCTTCTTTTTATGCAGCAAACTTAAACATGCACATATCCTGGTCCCTTCATTTGTTCTCTTTTGTACAAAAAACAAGATTTTTCCTTGAGAGATCTACAACTGTAAAATACACAAAACTATTAAGATTGTGTGTTTAATGCCTCTGGAGGCCAGTTTAGGAACATTCACCATTGACATTACTGTAACTTCCACCCTTCTTCCACCATCCTGTGGTATTTAATATCACTTATATTATCCACCAAGTCCTCGAACGACACACACATGCATTCAGTGTACAAGAGAATACTGTTCAGGGTTTTTTTATGATTACACTAGCATGAAGTTTTTAACAACAATTTATCAATACTTAAAAAACCACAACCCCTCTTCTAGTTTGGAACACGAGATACATCCATGCTTTCTTGCATGGCTGTGTGCTCTAAATAACTACGACAATCTACATGGAGAAAGCAATTTGTTTTTAAAAAAAATAATCTGTGAGCAGATTTTTAAAGTGTGTTGTAGCCACCTGAAAAAAAAAGAATATCAACTTTCCTCTGAACTGTTACAGTCAAGAAAGTCTTGCCTATACAAATGTAATGTACTTGTTAAGTTCTAGGCAGATAAAAGACCATGTGGAACAAAGCAGGAAGACATAATGAGGATAATGAAATAATTTTGATAATACAGCAAACACTTCCAGGCCACTGCATTTGGTTATTTTAAGCTTTACACTTCTAAAAGGAGGCACAATATGTCAATGAAATGTAGTGCTGACATAAGGAAAAGTGCTTTAACTTATAAACATGCATTTCAGTAGGCCTTACAATGCACATTTCCCATTTTAAATAACTTACCAGAGGTCGAAGATAAGATATTGACTATGGCCACTTGTGTGTCTGAGAGCGCTTCTTGATAACAGAAATTTGCCAAGAACCACTGCAGAAAAAGAAAAACAGTTTAATGAATACAAGGACAGCAGCAAAATGCATTAAAAACCTGTTTTCCTTGTGCATTTATTCATGCATTTAGATTTTCCTATATTTAGAAAACAAAACATTTACACTGAAATAAAATCAAAACAGAACAGGACTTTCAACTAAGCCCTTCTGCCTGAACAACCGTTCTAACTTCTATCAGGAAGTAGATGCATTAAGTAGCTAAAGGAAAAATAAAAATAGATAATCAAAAACAGTTTCAACTGAGTCTGCAACATAATGGACTGTGGACTTAAATTCTTAAATATGCTTTTAAGAAAAATGGCAATAGCAAGTCAGCCTCAATCAAGGAAACGATGTTCATAAGTCATTTTAAATAGCTAAATGGAGAAAATCTAGTATTTCCAGAAGTCTACAGAGATTATAAATAAATTATAGATTCATCTAATTTAAAATGATTAATGCACCAGCAGTATGGCTGATATTTGGTAAAGTATTTCCATTTCTAAAATAGTGATATTACTGTACTTACATCAGATACATGCATTAATATTCATAAAATACCTGCGAGATAAGACTCTTTGTAAATGTAAAGCAGTAAGTATTTTATTATCTCTTGAATTTCCAGGGATGTTGTTGATGACATTTTTAAGAGGACTATCTTTTTAAATATTGAACAAGAAAGCAGCATATACTGCATACCTTTTACAAGAAATTGTTTTTTGGTTTCTGTGCAGGACATGACCAGTATTTGTTTCTACAGAAAATGAAAAGATAGCTCCTATTCTATGTAATTTGGATGTATATGCATAAAAAAAATCAAGGAGTATTTGTAAAAGTGCGTGTGTGGGGGGGGG